TGTTGAAAATCACACAGCACATGTGTTCACAAATGCCCAACATTTAGCAATCAAAAGTTGTTATTTTAGTATATATTTATGGAACTCAGATTTCTAACTCCAAATGCTACACTCTCAACTGAGAACCTATGGTCTCTAAATTTTTCAAGACTGCCTGATAAAGCATATTCATCATAAATATATACAAGTGTCTAATCAAAAGTATATTAACCATCAGTAAAGTTTATATAAGACATTAAATCAAACTTAAAGCATTGGTACCACTTTCTTTACTACATAAGCCATGAATTTAAATAATATAACAGGGATGGTTTAAAAACATAGAAAAGTAGTAAGGCTTGTGTCTAATATGAGCAAAAATTTTTTGAAAATAAAAATGATGGCAAAGTCATAGAACCCTCTTGTTTTTAAGATATCTAACAGTGAAATATCACAAGATAAACAGCCTCTTGAGGAAATCAAAAGAATGCCAAATTGTGTCTACTTATCAAAGTCTTGCAGATATGATCCTTGAGTTAGACTTCTGGAATATAGAACTTAAGGCCTCTTACATATATAAAAATCTAAATTTGGGGACTAAGTGTCTCAATCATTTCGACTATTTTATTATTGGACATATTTCTCCAGTTCAATTTATAACTCCTAACTGGAACCCAATCGATGTTAAATAATTATAGTAAAATTATTTTTTTCTAAGACTACTTACCTTATAAGCATATTAATAAGATATGTTTTCATTTTATAAATGATTTATTAATGAAAATAATAAATATACACAGGAAACTAAATCTAAAACATTTTTTAATTCTATTTAGCAATTATTGATAAAGAACGGCAAAGAACCAAAGAACATCAGTGAGACAAAAAAAGAATCATGCCTATAATACATAAAATTTATGTTTTATTGAATTTGCTAAGAAAAGGTGAATCATTAAGATTTATTTACTTATAAAATTCATATACATGTACAAAAATGCATTTTTTAATAAAACAAAGTATCTCTTCTATAGTGTACATCTTTGAACAAACCCTTAGGGTATAAACCTTTTGACACATATTGACAAACTGCCCACAATTGAAATTGTAAATAAAGTCCTAATCTGGAAATAATTTTGAAATATTCTAAAGGGACCCCTAAAACACCTCAAAAGATTTCTTTCTTTTTTCAAATATTTGCATTCTTTCATGCACCATAGTACATTTAAGCTGGACTTTATTCAACTGTCACTTCATATGGGTTATCAACAGGTTCCCATTGTTGCGTGTATGTTTTCTGGACGGTCTGAAGGTTTCCCCTGCTGCGAGACTGCTGCCTTCACAGGGACAAAGAAACTGCTAGGAAATGTGTTTCCCACTCGGAGTACACGTTTCATAATGTTTAGTGATTGAGGCACCCTCTTCACTGAGCAAATTTATACAAGATTTGACAGACAGTCCTGAAAACTTCTTGGAATCATCACTGGCTCAGTTATCAGGCAAAGTCAAGAAAACTAATGGAAAAACTGGATCCAAGCACAGCAAGTCTTAATTACATGAGATAGAATGAACTGATGAGAATGGTTACAATTTTTATGATATTTCTGGTTATCTTTTTGTTTTCCAGGTATATGGAAAAAAATTGCTAAAGCTAGCTATATGATTTTTTCCTCCCTACCTGATCCCACTAGAATTTGTCTTGTTATGCCACAATACAATTAGGAAGTAATATATCTAACATGGTGGAAAACCACAGTCTAATTAAACATGAATTCTAGACATTTAATCCTTTAACAAGTTATATTGATATGTTGTAAAAGATATTGTAAGACGAAAAACCACAGGCCCAAAATGGCATCACCCATGCCCATTATACTAAACCTAGACTTACTATCTGATCTAACTGCAGTTTTAACTTTTCTCAGAAGCAATCTTAGCCAACCAGTCTGAAATATTCTTGCCAAACGCCATTGAGGCCAGCTCACGTGAGACTTCTCCTTTCCTCCACAGAAAGAAGATGCAATCTGCATGATGAAAACCCTTCCTGATTTCCCCCCTAAAGAAAAGGTGACCTGGCCTAAAAGTATACCTTTCTTTTCTTTGCTGATAGCTCCCTTGCCCCACGTTGCTTCCTGTAATGTCTTCCTGATAAGACTCACTCACTGCTCCTAAAGGAAGGTGTCCTTGTCTGAAATAATTCTCTCTTAATTTCTCAGTTCAACCCTTTTTTCCTTATAAATACTTTCCATTTTGTACATCTCCTCTGAGTATCTTTTATACTTCTGGTTACTAGAGGGGATGCTGCCTGATTCACGAATCAATTAAAACCAGTTGAATATTCAAAATTTACTCAGTTGAGTTTTGTTTAACCATATTAATATTTCAGCCTTGGAAAGAATACGATAGGTTGAAACTAAGAATGTTTCATTGAAATTAAGAAAGCAGTCTATTTTATTCTTGAAAATTCTTTTGGAAAGAATGTGAATGTACCTATAACATTCTATATCCAAAATATCTTTGTAGACCCCAGAGGCCTTATTAAAGAATGTATACATTTAATTGTAGGATTAGATTATTGTTCAATTTATGAGTCACCTAATTGATACTCAATAGATATATGCTAAATGAGTTAATTAAATGAATAAACTGGATATACTTTGAATTTCAGTAAATTTAAAATTATGGATGGCCAATGATGACACTTTAAAGATGTTCAAAGAAAAAACAAAACATATCCAGATGCTAAAGAGCTGTCAAAGAAAAAAAAAAGCTGGACAGTAGTTACAGCATTAAAAATAAATGTTATGAAGAAAAATTATTATTGCAACAGGGGAAAAGAGAACTGTAGAGAACCAGACTCAATTCTGAATACAACAAGGGAAAGTGGGAAGTTGTAGCAAATGCTCAGAGTGGGGGGTCAGTGGATAGAAAATTACTAAGAGGACACATGAGGAGTAAGGAGGAATTCTGGTTAAACCAACCTAACGAGATGCTTGCTGAAGACAAGCCAGGGTGATCAGAAATCACGTGAGAGATACTAGAAAATTAGGAAGCTGATTAACTATCCAAGATGATCCTATATGGAGGATGAGGTCTTCTTGCTACACCAACTTAGCAGGATTTCAGCTAGAACTAGACTCTACAACAAAGGTCACAGAAGCTCAGGGTTTGAGACCAGCCAAAAAATTGAATTCACTGAGTCTGATTAGTACAGTCAAGTAGGGACTACTTTGTCAGTCCCCCTTGTTCTATATGTTAAGTGGTGTGGTTTAAACTTTAGTAAACTTAATATCATGGCTCATGGGGATACTTTAAAATAAAGATGTTCAACAATAAATGAAGCATTCCATCCAGAAGCCACAGAGTTGAAACACTACTGAAAAGACAAATATGTCTTCTGTAGTTAAGCATGAGGCACTGAAACATCAAAATATGATGGAAACTAAGTAACCAAATAACTTAATAAAGACTTGAAGGGTCTCTAAATTCTAGAAGCTAATTACAAACACAATAGCTTTGCTGGGGATGCTCTCCGAGATGCCACTTATTAAACTCAGTGACGCCTGACCTGTAATCAACCCAAGGTCCATCCAACACAAAACGAGACCAGTCCTAGTTCATCTGTGACTACAGTGACTCAGCTGCCTAGCATGAACAGGTAAAGGGCTTAGTTAATACCAATCAAGTCAAAGTTTAAGAAGAACAATGAACCTTCCTATTATTCCCAATGTCTTGTACAATGAAGTTCAAAGAAGTATAGTAGTTACAACATGATCTATGAGTTTGCAACCGTTCAATTAGCAATAACCAATGTTTCTCATCCCTTGACCAGATGACTTCCATTTTTGATTCCTTAAAATTATCAACATTATATAGTTACTTCTTTTACATATGGAATTATATCAAGGATCCAAATGGCCACTTATAGACTAACCCAAAGAGAAAACACCTACCTGTTCATAAATTACTTTTGTCCAAAAGTGATAGGTACACAACTATACCATTTATAACTAAGCACATTGAATAATTCTGAAGATAAATTCCATCAAAGAAAAAGATATGAGTTCAGCTTCACAAGATAATAAAATGGCTATTTTTTGCTCTTATCTATTTAAGATATCTCGGTCCTATAGAGATACCAGACTTCTTAATGAGCACCTAGGATGTAGACTGATTATTTTCCTTTAAGACAGAGAACTGGTTCAAAAATCTGGTCAGAGTTATAAGTGATTTAATATTTCTCTTCCTAAAACGACTTGTTCTGCAGTCTACCTTGAGAATGCACGTTCTGTGAAAGCACAATTCGGGCTGAAGTCTCACGCAACCATATACTTTCCCAGCATATTTATCTCTGTCTTCACTTCTGAAGAACATATGGCAACCCAGTCTAGGCCAGGTTTTTAGCCAGGATCTAAAGAAAAATAAAACCCAAATCTTTTATTATCCCTTTCAAAATTCCTATTTCTTTGAAGAAGAAGGGTTTTGTATGTACAGGTTCTTGTGCACTTAAAGAATGAGTATCTCACTCCGTGGATATCTCACTTGTCTTGCACCTCTGCTGTAAACCTCTTTGCCTTATGCAGTTTTTAGGCCCTATTCTGAGCCCAGAGATAATCTCTCAGTGACTGCTCCCACCACACAGCCTTTCCAAATGGACCTGACTGCTGAGGTATGAACCTCTGACTGCCGCCAAGGCTACCTCAAATACATCAAAGCTTTCATAAAAAGTGTACTATTTCTTCGCACCACTCACAGTTGGTGTTTACATTTGAAATATGCCTGTCTCCTTTATGAGACTGGAACGACACTGTTGTGTCCTCAATTCCCAGTACTGTGCCTGGTACATAAGTACTTAATTGAACTGGTGAATGAGTGAATCTATTACACAACTAATCCTGTCACCAGATTTTTTTTTTCCTTTTCTCCAATTTCACCAAATTACTTTTAATCTTCTACAATTTTCTCAAAGCACAAATTCATCTACTGGATAAAATCCAATTTACACATTAACAAGATAAAGAATTGCAGAGCTAACAATTCTCCACCTTAAGTAACAATAGCTGCTTTTGACCTTACACTGTGATATGGAAAAGAAGATGTATTTTAGAGGTTACAAATTAGCAGAGACTATAAAGATAACCTATTTTAATCTTACCTAATCTTATTTTCTCAGAACTGCCCTCAACTGCCATTATTTTTTAGCTAATGGTGTAATATAGACCAAGATTAGAATGCAAGAGCCACATAGCAGCACTAGAAATATTCATGGTTGTCTCCCTTTACAATGTCTTTCTTTTCCCCCTTCTTAGATTCACTTTTAACCTTTTTCTTGCTATCTTAACTGACTCCTGCATCTCATGGCTACAGGGATTAAGGGCCTGAATGCAGAAAAGGGTTGAAGCTTTACTTCCACCTTTAGCTCTATCATGTGATAGCTGGAAGATTAAAATTGTTTAATCCTCAGGTGTCACATAACTCCAAAAATATTGGTAATTCCTAAATCAGTCTAACTCCTAGGGTGCTGGGATGATGTGTGAAATGCTGTCTATGAAGCTCTGTAAATCCAAAATGCAGTATTATTTCCCCCAGACTACCTATTTTATTAAATCTTGCTTAATACGGTTCATTTGCATTTACTCCAAAGTATAAGGCAGCTATCATGAGGTGTGGAGAGAATTTTTTTAACCTATAGAAGCCAATATATGTAATTAGACTAAAGATATCTAGAAAAAATAGGGATTGTGAAACCCTAGTCCAAGAACACCAAAGAAAGATTTGCCACGGACACTAATATTTTTACACAATACAGAGAAATTTGTGTGTAATAGCAGTGATCTAAGTCTCCCTTAAGGAATGTGGTCAATGAAAAAGTGAGGGTAGGAAGAAGAGTCATACCTAGAAAATTCACTTCAAATTGTAGGAATTCAGTACAGTTGTATTTACATTTAAACTGCCCCTTTAGCATAGACAAGGAGGCTTCAAGGCAAATCAGGTGCTTCTAGTTGAAGGAAACAAGACCTTTAAGTCGAGCCTTCCGCAGGAGACCTCAGTTGCCCCTCCACCCCAACATCGTTTCTGGCCCAAATCTAATTACAAAGAGCATTCCAGAACAAAAACAATATCACCTAAATAGTCCTGTGTTTTGGGCAAAAAGAGAGGATAAAATATTAAAGTTTCCTCCAGTTAATCTGCCTTTGGTCTGTTCAATTCATAGGCTACAGCTGCAGAACCTAAGAAAGCGAAGGAAAGTTCTTTTTCCTCCTGTACACCCAGCACATAGTATATACCAAATAAATGTAAGTTGTTCCTGTGTCATTATTATTAATGTTAATCCTTGCCTCCACCCTCTTCTGTAGGAAAACGTGAAAAAAGGAGGCAAAGTCCAAGACCATTTAATGATTCATAGACCTGTTCTCATCAAAGCTTCTCCAGGAAATAAAAACATATTTTAAATCTAATTATGTGACTTATTAAGAAGTTGTTCTGGTGGAAATGAAATACTCAGCAAATTCACACAGTGGTGGAGTCAGATCTGATGATGGTGCTATGCCTTGGGAACGGCATTCCTCACCACGCAGTATGCTCTGCGTGGGAGCCTACACAGGAAAGTCTTCATGGATCATGAAACCACGTTGGACCTTAATGTGCATTGCTTTATTTGGCTTCCTCTAAGAAAATCACCTATTCAAGTTTAGACTTTAAACTGTCTTCCTTCAGCCCAGTTGAAATATTTTTGTGATTTGACAAATGTGATTTATCTGGACAGTTTTCAGTCTTTTAAATTGGATCAGTGAAATAAGTTAAGTGGCATATAAGTTAATGACATTGAAAACAAATAAAGCAAAACAAATGATTGGTATAGAATCCAGATTTTTGGTGTTTATATATTAGTTTGATCAAATAAACTGGTTCTTCTACTAATTCACAAAAGAGGAGGAAGAGCAGTTACCAATAATCCAAGAAGCCACATTTATTACACCTATAAGATATGAGTAACCATTAGTAGCTATAATTGTCATGAAAATAAACAGTACATCTAGAACATAAACTATATCAAAACACGTGACCAGTGCTATCCAAAGAGAAAAGTTAACTACATCAACCTTTTAATGCCATTATAAAAGATGCATTAATATTCATAGTCATCTCTTCCCCTCCATTCCATAAAAACCTGAGCACATTTACCCTTGTAGAGAAGAGCAGACAGTTGTGTTTGTCTCCTGAGAGCAGAAGAAAGCAGAAGTGCCCTGGGATTCTCATCTGAGACAGGAGGAGCAGAAACTCAGTTGCTAGAGTGACTTACAGCTACTGAGGATCTGGCTATTAGAGATAGGATGGGAGTGTCCTGAAGGCTCACTGACTCAATGAAAGGTACAAAAAAGGAAGGAATTCTGAGTGAATGGGGAAATCAGCTGTGAAAATATCCAGGAACATTCATTAGGATGGGGGCTGTTCTGCTTCAGAATTTTTGAAGAGTATGACTGAATATAAGGTTAGGAGATAGACCAAGTGTAACGTTCAGTGTTGGGGACAAGATCTTTATAAAACCTATTCTTCTGCTAAAATTTAAAAATTAAAAAATAAACTTCAAAAGCACATGGTCACTTGTCAACGTAATTACAAGGTAATGAGTCTCCTAAGGTTGCATCTAATGTACTTAATAAATGTTTACAATTTTGACAAAAAAATATTGTTTTATTCAACTGTGTAAGACTCATTTGCTTTTAATTCTTAACATGCAAGAGCTACAGTTTAAAAAATCCAAGATAGGATAATATTTATGAATGGCTTAAACTGCTTTAATGAAATGTGCAATATTTGTTATATTTTAAATGTTACAAGGGTACAGCAAACATTTCATGAAAATGTTATTGAGAGACAGTGTTTATAGAAAATCAATTTCAAACAAATCTCTGAAATCAGACAATCAACAGCTGATTATGAAGTCATCTAAGGATTTTCAGTAAACAATTAATTATGACATTTAAAGTTCTCAGTAACACGCCAGGATAAGAATTATTCTTATTTTCCAAATGAAGAAATAAGCACTAGAAATAATTGAATCAGTTGCTCACCATACTAAATCTACCTAATTCTGATGCTCTTGCTCTTTACAAAAACTCTAGTGTACAAGTCACTCTCATTATAAAGATAAAAATGTGAAACACACATGACATTTTCTGAGAAGGGAGACTAGATATTTTAATTGTTTAGTAGAGTATATAGATGGACAACTTTTTACTCGTGTAATTAACCACTGTATTTCGCTTTAGAATCAAATACACTTGAAAGATAAGAATTAAAACTTACGCTAAGTATCTTCAAAGGTATGCAAGGCTCTTATCTCTACACCATCTGCCTGTTTTTGGTTTAGATAACTTTAACAGACTGGTAACACCTTTTATTATTTTTCATTCAACTTTTATGTGTTGTATATTTACTCCAAATGATTAATGTGTTAGCAAGGCAATAGTTTACAAAGTTTTGATTTGGAAAATGAAAATACTATACTCATATTTACAACCTTTTCAATGTTTATAAACATTGGTTATATTGCCAAAGCTTTGTCTGGAATATCAAGTTGGAGAGACACAAGCATAGACTCAGATATGACCAAACAGCTTCAAGGAACTAAGACTGACTTTATGGATGCAAATAGAGTGCTCTTGGAAAAAAATTAGCCTGGTACAAGTTTCCCGGAGCAGGCTCACCAGGCCAGTGAGGAAGGTCACTCCACGACATGTGTCAGAACCTCAGGATATTTTGGGGACTTTAAGGGGAGAGGAATTAACCCAAATCTAAAAGTATATTGGGCAATGTCTTGTGGCAAATACTTGGCTTGGCTTCTTAGTACCAACAGGCTGTTAAAAGTCCCACCTGGATATTCCTTATAAAAGTTTCAACAAAAAGAATTTAAAAGAGCCTATATGACCAACTGCTGTTCTTGCTACATTGCTATAATCAGTTTTTGGAAATTAAATTTGTTTTACAAACAAATTACTTTTAATGTGGCTATTTTTGATAAAAATTAGGGCGATGACGAGAGAAAGAAAATTATGTTCTAGAGAAACTATAATACATACCTGTGGATTAAATTCTAGTTGTGTTCATTGTCTTTGAGGTTTCATTTTCCACCTATAAGCTGGACTGGAGATGGAATTCTCCTACTGTCCTCTAATATTTGGCTACAACTAGGCCACTAATGTTTTCCATTCTTCCCCTACTTTTGACTTGGAGCCATTGAGAACTAAAGCTACCCTTCTCCTGAAGCCCTACAAACTGAAACTGAACCACCTGATTTAAACTTAAGAGAGATCACCACAGTGACCCAGGATTAGACAGTCTTCAGGCCTACTGCTGTATAAGCCGTTCTGAAAGTTTACCTGAACACCCAATGGCACCATGGGAGACATTTCAAACCACAAAAGATGCTTCGGCTCTAATATCTAGGAAACTTCTAGTCTGGCTACCACCAAAGCCTAGAAGCTAGTTTATACTTAGCTCCAACCACTGACCCTTGTTTGTCTTTCGTTTCCATAGAAATGCCTCATTAAATACATGGTGGCTTTCTTATATAATAAAGGCCCTACTGGAACCCTGCCTACATCACCACCTCCTGAAATGAACTTAATTGGACCAACCCGTTGTCAGGACTAACTGGTTCAGTGAAATAGGACAGCCTACAAATTCAGCTTCTGGACTGTTAAACTTCCAGAAGGTTCAAAGGTGGAACTGTAAGGGGGCAAGATCTGCCACCCCAAAACGTGTCTGTTTGGCATGAGGATTAATTTAGGCTGATAATATTTAAGAAACAGAAGACTTGGAAAATTTATCTTGTTACCTGCTCCTTAAGGGCCTAAAAGAATTTAGATAAAGGGCCTGTTTTGGGAAAAGAGCTATCACCAGAGATATCTACAAAGAATCTGGGGCAGGTGTGGTAGGGGAGGCTCCTCAGTGTCTAGAGATCAGAATCTTCTCTCTGTCCCATTGTATCTGCATGACCCAGCGAACATTCATCTTCCAAGCCTTTGCATCTCAATCTTCATGGAGATTACCTTCCTCCACTTTCAAGCCCCAAACTACTACCCCCTTCTCTTTAGCTCAAAATGCTTATAAACCTCACCTGCCTGATTTGTCATTGGGCCCCAGATTGTTATGGAACCCCTGTATGTACCTACATACTTAAATTCAGTCTTTTTTTTTTCTGTTAACCTGTCTTATGTCAATTTAACTCTTAGACCAGACAGAAGAACCTAAAAAGGGAGCATACAATTTCTTCCTCCCTGATACCTTCTGACTTTACCAACAGTGATTAATTGAAGGACCGTCTTGTTAATAACTTTCTTAGAAAATACAGTAGGCGATGATGTGTAGTCTGGGCCCAAAATTACTGAACCCACACATTTTGGTGATATATGAAGGTCTGTCAGGAAAAAGTTCATTCATTGTTAATATAACAAGAGCAGTTTGCATGCCATCGATGTGACCTAGCAGCCAAGGAGAGTGGACTGGATTGCACATGTGTGAACAATGACAACTTCACTTTACTAGTCAGTGGGGGTGGTAGATACCATTGAGTGAGCCATGAGCCACATGCTCACTCAATGTAGCCATCAGATTCAAAATGACTGAGCAAGTACAGCAATGAATCTGCATCAAATTTTGCATTAAGTTGAACATTCCTCTGCAGAAACTATTCAGATGACTCAGAAGGCTGCAGCTAGGGGCAGCTGGTGATTGGCAGTTTTATCACAACAACATGCCTGCTCATGCATCACGGGTCTTATATAGAGTTTTTTGATGAAACATCACATCGCCCAGGTGATTCAGTCCTCCTACAGCCCAGATTTGGGCTCCATGACTTCTAGCTTTTCCCAAAACTACAATCACCTTTGAAGGGAAAGAGATTTCAGGCTATTGATGAGATTCAGGAAAATATGATGGGGCAGCTGATGACAATTGGGAGAACTGTGTGAGGTGCCAAGGTGCTGACTTTGAAGGGGCCTGAGGCGTCACTGTCCTATGTACAAGGTTTCTTGTATCTTGTATCTTCTTCAATAAATGTCTCTATTTTTTATATTCATGGCTGGACACCTTCTGGACAGATCTTGTAGATACACTGGGGAAACAGAGGACAAAGGGCACCAGCGTGAGTCTAGCCTTAGTCCCAAATCTTAGATGAGAGTTGAATAGTGATTAACATTTTAATGTTTCCTTTCTTTCCTTCCCTCTCCCTTCCTCCCTTCCCTTTCTCAGCACTTTACATGACATAAGAATACATTCAATACTAATAATGACAAATATGATTCTTATTTTACAGATGCCACTAAACTTTTTTTACTTTAGGTCAACCAAATTTTAGTTGAATCCTTTAGGGCTCACAAATTAGAATTGTATGTACGCCATGGACAAAGTTCTGGAGGGCCTTAGTTCAGCAGTTCAGGTGAGGAAAACAAACCCGTTTTAGTGAGGCTATGTGGGTTTTTCAGCTCAAGAGATTAGTTTCATTAAAACGCTGGCTTGAGTGATGTGTGGGATATTTCTGGCTGTCTTCAAAGATTTAGAATAAGCCCTGGCTGGTGTGGCTCAGTGGACTGAGCACCAGCCAGGGCACATGCCTGGGTTTTAGGCCAGGTCCCCAGTAGGGGGCACGCAAGAGGCACACACACATTGATGCTTCCTCTCTTTCTCCCTCCCTTCCCCTCTCTCTAAAAATAAATTTTAAAAATATTTAGAGTAAAATTTAAAAATCTATGAGAGAGAACTTTAAACAAGTACCCAAAAAAGTGTGGTTGGAACCAAGGTCTCAAACCGGAGCTCCAGAAACCTTCAGTAGCCAGGTGCCTGCAGTTAAGCTCTGTAAGCAAGTGAACTCAACCCCCTTCCATATTGCTACTAGTGGCAAAACTGGGGACTCTCCATTATTTGTCATATTCCTGCCAGATAGGCTGGCACCACAAATATTTCTCTCTTTACCCAGAAATAATGTTATGTATTCCCCAACATTTCTTTGCACCTACACTCTAGGGCTCGCTGGTCTCTCCAAACTCATAACTTGTTATTTTCCAGTTGCTCAATATGTTCTCATTGGTGCCTTCAGTTTTCCTCTGTACCCTGCTTTTCTCTTCTCTGCTTAAAGCATTCTGATAGACACAGTAGTACTCTGCCCGCTTTGGTTTTGATTCTCCTTTGTTCTCTGTGCCCCAAAGATTCTCTTGGCTATAATCTCAATTACCCAGTAAGTCCCCTCACACTACCACCGAGGTCTGCCATCTACTTATGTGCAATTAATTAAAACTACTTCATGATTCTGATCTTAATGAGCCCACAACCTCTGTTAAAATTTATTTCTCTCTTACTTCAGTTCCTTAGCTATTTTACTTCTATTTAGATTTAAATGATACAATCATTTAGTGGATTCCCACAGTGTCTTCAGTGATTGCCTAATTGAGCATTGCAGACACTGCAAAAGAATATTGAAGAGATGCTCTAGAGTCACTGGGGCATCTCAAACCTTACAGCAGATTCCAGCTACTTCATTTATTGATTCAACCATTTAAAATGGAGTATTTGTTACATGCCAGCTATAGGCATGGAGGATACCAGAGAGCCCAGGCTCTACTCTTTTGGAGCTTGCATTCTAGTAGGAGAAAACAGAAAATAAGCAAATAATTCCAGGGTAAAAAAGTGTCTTCATCTACTTGGGCTGCTATGACAAAGACCACAGGCTGGGTGACTTAGAAACATCAGGTGAGGGCCCTCTCCTGAGTCACAGCCTTCTTGTGTTATCTCTACACTTGGCAGGGCCTAGGGAGTTCCCTGGGGCATCTTTAGAAAGGTACTCATTCCATTCATTAGGGTCACACAGATAAGCCAGTCACCTCCCAATGGCCCCACCTCCTAATACCATCACATTAGGTATTGGAATTTTAACATAGGAATTCTGAGGGGATGAAAACAGTCATGCAATAGCAAACACTATTACAGAATTTAAAAAGAAGAAAGAAAGAGAGCAGCTGGTGTTGAAAAATCAAGTCCTTTCCATTTTAAAGTATAATATACAATCCTAACTCTTAAAGAGAATGCATCAGTTTACACTTCCTCCAGAAATGGAGTCTTATTTCCCCATACCCAAGCTAACACTGTATTATTGTACTTTGTTAAGTAATATAAAAATACTCATTGTCATTTAAGTAATAATTTCTTTTATTTTGAGAAATTGAGCCATTAATATTTTCTTCACAGTGATTTTAATATTCATGTCCTTTTCCTGTGTTAGGTTTGGGTCCCTTGGAATTGACTTGCTCAAGACCTCTTTACATATTCAGTAAATTAGCCCTTTGTTGTAAGTTCCAATTATCTTTTTCCAACCCGTATTTTGGCTTGCCCATGGTGTTTCCATGTAAAAGACAAGCCCCTCTTTTATGTTGTGTCTAAATATTTGGAGACTAGATGGTACTTAGGTCAAGTTCCCCAGCTGCAGACCCTAACGTGAGTTTCGTGTGCAAGTGATGTATTAAGGAAGTTTCCTCAGGAAAAACTCTTAAGACAAAGAAAGAAGGGGAAGACAAGAAAGGTTACAACTTCACATCAAGTCCTGCAGAGGGCAGCATTTGCCTGATCATACATGGGATCCAATGAATGCTGCTGGAAGCAAAACCAGTCTAAATTATTGGTGTGGGCGGGGCGGTTGCAGGGGACAGGATGCACACCGAATCTGGGAGAAGGGGTGTACAAAGGACAATAAAAGGACCTTGGGGGATCTGTGTGGGCCAGTGGCTGTTAATGATGTGTGGGTCAAGGGTCAATGAAAGGGAAGAATAGAAAAGTTCAAAGCCAGCATTTAATCCAATCACTCATGTATAATTTTTCTCCTGATGGTGCCAAGTTATTGGGAAAGTCAATTTTCAAACATTTGAAGGCTCAGTAAGTATCTGTAGATGTACATCTTTGGAGTTTATGAAAAGAGGTAAAGCCTTGAAAAGGGGACACTTAGT